TGCCTCTTTCCGTTTGTATTCTTCATTATCAAATTATTTTCACACTTATTACTACATAATGGTTCTGTGTTTTATGATGATTATTTAACTCTGTTTACCCTCGTTTGACCTTCTGTTTCCAATGTTTGACCATTAATAAGACTTTTGTTATCGCATTTTATTATTCTTACTACTATCAGTACACCTGTCTTCCTCCTATCAACTTGTACATTTACCTACTATGTGTGGTGACTTATTCTATTTTATTGTGATTATTGACCTAAATTACCTTGATTGGTTTAAAATTTTCGTATAAATATTACTGTATTTAGAGTAAAGCCTGATGACGATCTAATTGAATACAATTGTTCGTTTACATGTGTTGTTCTAATTTTCACAATGGGAATCTTCAACATTCTAAAATGAAATTAACACAAAATTCACATTGTATATGTATTGGTTATGAAAGTGTTGTGTTCTCTGAGCTAGATAATCCAGTTATGAAAATTTTATTGTCTTTATAAACGAAATAATTAACGTATACATCGAGAAGTGATTAGCTATTAGAACCTATTCATAATTGACTTGCAACTTGTTCTTTAGATTAGAAATTCAACTGAATGTTCTCCATAATCGGGCGGCCGTTTAAAACATTTCAACATTATAGAATACCAGGATGTTACCTCACAAATACATATTTTTCTCACTTACTTATGCCTCTTACTCCCAATGGAGCATAGGCAGCTAACCAGCATTCTCCAACCCACTCTGCCCTGGGCCTTCCTTTCTAATTCCATCCAATTGCTGTTCATTCTTCTCATATCTGTGGCCATTTCTCGGCGTAATGTGTTCTTCGGTCTTCCTCTTCTCGTTGACCTTGAAGGTTCCGTGTGAGGGCTTGTCTTGTGACGTAGTTGGGTGCTTTCCTCAATGTGTGTCCTATCCACTTCCAGCTCTTCTTTCTGATTTCTTCCTTCACTGGAATCTGGTTTGTTCTCTCCAATAGTAGGTTGTTGCTGATAGTGTCTGGCCAACGGATCCGAAGTATTTTGCGTAGACACCTGTTAATAAACACCTGTATCTTCTGGATGTTGGCTTTCGTAATTCTCCATGTTTTCGCCCTGTAGCAGTAAATAAATCCCCATAATCAATAACTCTGTAAGTTTTCGACATTGGATGCTGACCACATTAGTTTTAATGGACTCACCTAGCTGAAGGCACTCGGTCATGCATCCGCACTAGATCACGAGTGGGAACGCCGTGCTAGCCTATCAATATATCAAGGATCGTCCACTGTATCCCATGCTTCTCCACAAATGTTGACGTTTCCATGATCCAGTCGATCACCAGGAGAAAGAGAAAGGGTGAGAGTAAGGAACCTTGCCTGACACCGGTCTTTACTTTGAACTTAATAATTTAAACCTGAATTGTGATGAGAAAAGGTCAACAGCGAAGTGAGCGGGTTCAGTAAATAATATTGGATTTAAAAGTGAACCCGATTATAAAAAGACTTCAGTGATATATTCTGCTTTACATCACTTTTTGAATAATTGAATGAGACAAATTGTTAATTCTGCTTATTCATCTTACCGTCATTTCTTACCAATGAGATGGTGGGGAAGATTTTTAACTCAGATGAATGAAGTAAAATTTTGTGTTGATGTCATTCGGAATAACAATGAAAGCTCCATAACCAAACCTTCCAGCTCAGAAAACAAAACACCAAAATTTCCTCACAATCGATAATCTTTTGTGTGGTACGTTGTACTACTTAGGAATATTTAGTAGTAAGTTCACTTTCCATTGCGTTTTGTAACATTCTGAAGTATTTAAATAAATTTCTAATATTCAGTTTACTTAGTACGGTAATTGTGACTTGTAGGTGATATTGATACAGTTATTTCAGACAGCATTTTCCACTCCTACATAAACTGACGTTTTGAACACTTGAGACACGTCATGAACAGAGGTTTATAACTATCTTACACATATTTTCGTGATAACAATACCGCTTTCTGAACAGAATCTCTATTTTAGACTCTGATTTCCCCGGGTAACTCTCTCATTCGGTCAGAAGCTCAGATAGGATTTAAAGCAAATCGTTCGACATGATTTTATTTTAAAAAGTAAAATAGATGTATATAAAATCAATCATTTAAATGACACAGTGCATGATATTGAAATCATAGTTAGTTGGTTTGGTTCATGTCAATAGTAACGCTATTCTTGATTCCAAACATGTTTATTATAGGAATTGTTTTACATGATTTTATTTATGATCCCTCTTTACCACTGACATTGTTCGGGTTCATTAATTATAACACTAGTTGCTTTATTTTAAATACCTGAACATTAGGTTACTTCAGCGAAGCTTTTTATGGAATCAGCAAATTTCAAATAACTAAACTACAAACGTTAAGATAGTTATCCTGTATGGAGCTGAAACTTGATGATCTACCACAACTACCACCAAATATGTGCAATGTCCGTTGGTCGGATACCATCAGCAACAGTCTACTATGTGAAAGAACAAACAAACTTCCAGTTGATGAGCAAAGTAGGAAAAGACGATGGAAGTGGATAAAACATACACTAAGGAAATCACCAAACTGCATCACGAGGCAAGAGCTAACTTGGAAACCTAAAGAGAAACGGAAAAGACGAAAGCCAAAAAATATACTGTGTCGAGAATTGGAAGCAGATGAGAAAAGAATGAATACCAACCGGAAAGGATCGCCTAGGACAGAGTTGGATGGAGAATGCTGGTGGGCGGCCTATGCCCCTCCACAAGAGGTAACAGACGTAATTAAGTAGATAAGTAACGTTCTGAACAACTAGCGGGAACTCATGAATTATTCTATTACCATTCTTATTTTTGCCCCATTCAAATTTATAAATGCGAAAAAAGTTGTGGAAAAATGAACAAAATTACTTAAAAATTACACTATCAAATTTTTGACATAAATACAAATATGTATGATCAATTAGTGTTTATTGTAACATTATGTTAATAAAGTAGTTCTCTATTCATCAGTAATTCTATGGAGAATTCTGGTGAGTGGCCTACGCTCCTCTACTAGGGGTAACAGGTGTAGGTCAGTAAGTAAGTAAATAAACTAAAGAAGAACTTATCGCCTTTTGTAACAAGCAGTGGTTTGTTTTAGTAGGTTAGTATGTTAGAATTTATAATATAAAGTTATTATTCAGTGCGTTCCGATTATATCTCTCAGTCTTTTGAAAACCAATAGTATAAGTTTATTTTGGTGAAAATGAGTATGAGATCTCACAATGGTTCACTCTTAGTGAACACAAGATTTTCAAAGTCCGGCTAGTACAGCAAAAAAGGGGAAGTTTAAAAATAGCTTGAACATTCCGTTTACAAGTCGGGTTGAAACGCTTCTAAGCGACAGGCTTGTTTGAAAGTTTTCGTGTCAACAAGTAAAACAAAATAAACGTATCTTAAAGTTTATTTGCTTGTTTGTGAAATAGAGAACGTTTAACCGTGTGACGTTCTAATCTGTTTTCATGATGTAAAAAAGACTTGCTTAAAATATTCATAAAATCAACGAACTGATCTATCTAATGCTCAGATTACATTAGGGTATGTCTTATCGGTTAGTCATTTGGAAAAGATCTAGTGTCATTCAATTTTTCGTCGTTCTGCTTGGCATAATATATATAGGGTTTTTAAATAAGTCAAATGTTTGTAGTTATCCTGTAACCTTAACCATCAGATTACATTTTTCAAATGTATTTATTACTCTTCAGGATAGTTTCTGTTAATCAAATTGGCTTTCAAAGTTACCATTTATAATTACTACTGGACGGTAAGATAAGATGCTACTTACATCTTTATTCAATAACAGCAAATCATTTAAGACTGTGTATATTGTTTGTGGATAAAAAGATCAAATACTTATAACTAAATAAACTGAAGTATATTGTACATGCTCTTTCATCAATTACATATTTATAAACAAAACACAGAAGTAAATGGTTGCTAACTTGGAAGAATAGTTTAGTCAAAGAAAGGATGGAAAGGGCTTAATTAAGATGTGAAGTATTCCATAGACTTTCGGATTTTCATTCTAAACCATTGTTGTAAGTACAGACTACCAGATTAAAGCCAAAATAAGTTTTCATCAATGGTTGAAAACTTTAGGTGATATGGCTTAAAATCACTAGAGATGAGGTTGGTAAATTTATTTTTCATCACTCCATATTTTCAATGTCTCAACATTACGCACATTTTATTCCTTTCTTTAAACCTCATTTTTTTTGTTTCCTCTTACTATTATTGTTATACCATTACGTTTAATTCTATTTCTTTTTATATTCAGTTTACTTATTTTATCTTTCTAAGTTGATATTATGTTATAAACATGGTCAGTGAAAATTTATTTTAAGTCTCGGGCTGGTTACAGTTAGTTTAAAGAGGACTACTGTCATCTTCTAAGAAAGTACATGTGCTCACGTATAAGCAAATTCTGGAATGAGTGTTGAAAGAGTAGAGTTACGAGCACAATTAAACAAAATTCATGAATGCCAAAAGCTAAAACGGTGGCTAGGTAATTAATGCTATAAAATGTTTAGCTTCAGAAGGAAGGTCCGCGTAAATGAACATGTAAAGGAATGCAACGCAAATTCAGAATCAGCTTACAATTTAAGTACTAGTTTACACACGCACGTGAGAATTGGCTTAGCGATCATACGTTAAGCTTTTATTTAGTGTGGGTTATGCCAAAGAGTAACAAAGGTTTGCATGAAGACAAAAAGAGAAGTCAAAACAAAAATAAAGTAAATAAGACAGTTTGTATCAAAAAAGTTGCGATGTGGTCCACATATTTGAAATGTCTTTACAGTGCATTTCATACACTAATGCTGACTTATGCTCCAAGAGACTACGGGTAAACTGTTCATGCCGATATGATATTTGAACAATATCCATTTATCTAGATTGGTGACTACTTACCATGACTTGGGAGATCATGACATTCTATCACAATTTTTAAAATACTATTTCATTTGTGATCTGATAGATATTTAAAAAACATGTCTCTATTCACAGGCCAGTTGCTGAGTTCTGGGTTAAACTTGAGTTGGGCTTGAAGCTCAGCTGAATATGAGTTACTCTGTTGATCGATCTTAGCGGAAAGACCTTGGAGGAAGCAAGCTTTTTTCCCAAGTGGTCCAAAGGCTGCAAAGTTTTCTGATTCATCAGTTTGACTTGACGTCTCATCTTCGTTTAATCTATGAAGAATCTTTAGATCAGGATTACAGATAGAAGAAAGTATTTTTTTGCTTATAGTATTTAGTTGTTTTCTATTTTGGTAGGATTTATTTTCAAAGTTTTCCAAGGCTAAAACAGATATGAGAAAATTGCGCTGAGTTTTCCACTTACCTGTATGTCTTTTAATACCAAACACATCCTGTTCTAGTTTTAGGTCGAGGATAGTACTTTTATGTAAATCATCTGCATCAGTAACCTGAATGTCGCAGAAAGATAAAGGTATCAACATATGTGTTAAATTAACACGGAAAATGTCTTCTTCAGCAGCGATGTTTTCTCTCTGGAGGTTCTCAATTTCATTCATGATGCGTTCCATCTTTTCATCAAGTGATTGTTTTTCAATTTTCAACCATTTGTTTTGGAGCATTTGTTGAGAAAATAATTTATTTAATGTTTCGATAGCATTTTCAATTACCGAGTTCCTAATATGCTCCGAAGAACACTCAATATTTGTTTTAACATTCAAGTAATTACGATTTTTCTCTTCAGTCAAATATTCTACCATCGATTCGAAACGTTGCTTCATATTAGTATACTCTGTTTCTAACATTTGGATACGTACTTCATTTGATTTCTTCGTCACATCAGAATACGTTTGCCATTGTTTGAGTTCCAAAACAACATCTTTTGTAAGATTCTGCGTAAATTTGATTTCATCTTGAATTTTGCGGACTTCATTTTCCTCCAAATCTCTTATCTTCCATGTTTCAAGTAAGTATTTTTTCACGTCATCACCTGACATAGTAGTGTCATCAGATGTTGAAACTTTTGAAACTTTCAGTAGAGTCTCTTTGAGTATTTTTTCGCCCTCTATTTTAAGTGTGTTGAGAATCTGTAACTTTTCCATAAGCATATTTTTAAGTGTTTCTCTTTTAAACTTCAGCCTAGAAAGCGATTCCCGAAGGTTACCTATTTGGTAATCAAGAATAGCTTCTTTTGGTGTTAAGTTCTCGACCTTTTTCGGCTTTTTGACGGAGTTCTTGCTTTTATCTTTCTTCGGTGGCATGATATCAACTATGTGCAGAGTCAAGTGGTATTAGCAATTCATAAAATGGTTTGACGAAACAAAACAGTATCCAATGGGTATAAATGAAGATTTTTATTTTATCAAGCCCTTATCTTTCTGAATCTCTAAATTTCATTTTATAAATTCGTCTTGCCCCATAGAATATTAAATATCTTTGTATTGAGCTAGTGCAAACATTCAAATTTTAACTTGTTGTAAGGACAGAAGGCATACTGCCTGTGTTATTCGTTTTGTAGTATGCCTCTGTAAGTGTCTACTTTTCTCTTAAATGGGTCAGTTGGAGGTGCAGACACAACTGTTTTGGGTAACAAGTCCCTAGAATTGATAACTTGATGTGAAAACCTGTATGCCACTGGTGTTTTGTTCGTTCATGGAATTTCTACTGACCTGCTGTGCTCTCTGAGATGTCCAGATCTATTGGGAATTCAAGGAGATGTGTTAGGTCTATAGTTGTTTCCTAGTATCATATACATCAAAATCAGATAATCTCTTAATTTGGAGTAGGACAGTAAAGGTCTAGCTTTTCAAGACGCTCCTTGTATAGTAAACCCTGGAGTTCTGGAGGTGCACGGGTAACTGCCTTTTGTACTTTTTACGGGCTATGTGAGTCGCCTTTTAAGCAGGGGCTTGCAGTCTGAAGGCAGTTATCAAGCTTGGTTTTCACCAAGGTTTTGTATACTGTAGTGAACATGGTAGTGTTTAACTTAGTGAGTGTACGATTTAAAGCTCAAAGGGTTCTAAGCCACTTAGCTGCGACCTCCTGGTAATGTGCCGTCGTCTTAATATCGTGACCCTCTGTCACCCCAAGACACTTTAGAGATTTATTCACGGGTACAGACACGTCTCCTGTGTTGTACGTACTTATTTTTGTATCCCCGAAGCGCATGTAGACACTGACACGTTGATAGGCATCAGCTAATTACAATATTTAAGTCTGCCTAAAGTGCGCATGCATCTGCGTCTCTTGCTATTTCTCGCCAGATGTTTGCATCATCAGCGTATAGTAACTTTGGGGACTCAACTACACTTGGTAGATCATTTACATGCAGTATAAAAAGGACCTAGGACAGTACCTTGAGGTACTCCACGAAGTACTGGTCTTCATGTGGAGCACTTCGAATTTACTCTCGTTTTCTGTCCACAAACTGACAGAAAATCCTTAAGCTACTTTAGGAGAGGTCCGGCAATGCCTAGATTTTTCAGATTCAACAGCAGTCTATTTGTTGGCACCTTATGAATTGTTTTGAAGTCTATGTAGACAACCTCCGCTGATTTTCCATTGTCTAGAGCCTTTATCCATTGTTCCTTTTCTATAAGGAGGTTTGTTGTGCAAGATAAACCCTTTTAGAAAATATGATTTTCGCTGTTTAACAAGTTGTTGGCTTCCATGTATGTCATGATGGTCTTTTTGACTATTCTTTCTAGTATCTAAACTACAACACTGGTGAGGCTGACGGGTCTTTAGTTCAATGAACGTTGTCTTGGTCCTGTTTTATATATTGGAGTGGCGATTTCATCCTTTCAGTCCGTAGGCAACACACCTTGACCAAGTGGCATATTGAATTTCACTGTTAGTTGGGCTGCAATATACTGTACAATTTGTCCCGTGATTTTGGGGTGTAGTTCATCCAGTCCTGTTGACCTTTCTGTGTCTAAAGTACTAAGTGCCTTAAGTACATTGTCTCGATCAAAGTTCACGGTGAGCAGACGGTGGTTTGACCTTGTATTTGGGTCTAGTTCTCTGTCAAGAAGAGGCTACTAAATGAAAACTGTCCCGAGATAATTTACCACAGCCTCTGCCTTTTCCTGATCACCCTCTATCATATCAGATCCACTCCCTTCCGTGATTAGGTTGGCAACCAATGCTGCATCCTTGTTCTGTAATTCATGTGCGAGAATATTCTCTTAGTTTGTTTGATTGCCGATTGTGCCAACTAAATTTTATATTTTTCCGAGCTTCCCGAGTTTTAATTATACACTTATTCCTTGCTGACCTGTAGCGTTCCATTGTACTTGCTCTGCCAAGACTAATAGTAAAGTTCAAACATTTTTTCTTTTGTCTTGTTAAACGCCTGATATCTCAGCCTTTTTAGGAATGACCGTTTTTTTCTTATTTGGGACTACCCAGGGTATTGGTTGAGTCACTTGATTGCATAACTGCCTGCAATGGGTTCATGCCTCTTTTACTGATGCTCCTGAGTCAATTATCCAGTTTTCAACCGGTGCTGCAGAGTTGATCGTCACCATGTCTGCCTTTCACTTGACAGGCCATTTCAGCCATGGACTTGAGTAAAATGACCGCATAATTAATTCTCCCTAGATATAAGAGAAAAGCCATTTGACCGACGTCATTATCGTGTGTAAAGAATAAGTCTGAGAGAGACGATGAGCTTCATAGGTCATATATAATGGGATCTCTAATGTGTTTGAATAAAGCTAGTGCAATTGTGGTTTCTAACAATTTACAATCAAATGACGTTAATGATGACACTACTTGTAAGATTGCTCGGTTAATTTACGATCCATTAAAGTCAACTACTATAAGGCTTTTACCCCTTTCACATCACGACTTAAATTTCCTTAGAAGAAAGTCATTATGATAATTAGAAGTAATTGAATTATAGTATGAACTAAGAATCCCAGGGATAACGCAATTGAATTAAGAAGTACCACACAAGCACTAACGAATGTACTGTATTTAGAATTCGAAATCAAACATTCAACAAGTACCAAGGAGTCATTAGTTTATTCAAACACCACATCCGCCACAGCTTAAATAAGAGTCTAAGTGTCTGTAATCAATTGTACGTGTTCTTCTTAAGTTCATGCTGTGTCTGTCCGACAATGTATTGGATAAAGACTTGTAGTGACCTACTTTTGTCAACAGAACGCGATTGGTTCGATGAAAACAATTATTATTATAACCAATTGTACCAGTGATTGTTTTATTGTGCTCGTTTGTTTAACTGTGCTAATAACAGCCATTTTAGTCTTCCATTGTACTCCATTGCTTCTACGCGGTTTTCGACTACGCACGTATCTTTTCTTGCCGATCGCACCTGTACTCCTTTGGCACGATCTCGGTATTCCTTCGATACCACGAGATTGCCAACAAATATATACGACTACTACTATCATCTGCCTTCTGATTTTTGGCCTACCGGAATCTTATTGGTCTATTGGCACGTAGTCTTGTAGCGGTGTTCATAGTCAAGCTCAACTCGACACCACGCTACATTTGGTGAGCCAAATATTGGAACACGCCTCAACTTCGGTCAAATCTTCTGCAACTGGTGAATCTACATCTACGACCACTTGGCAATCGCAACCAAACCTTCCAAAGAAGTCAATTTTGGTGAGTCTATCGCTTATCTATCCACGTCTGTCATATATTTTCATATTAATTTTTAACATATAATATATTTGACATGACGGATAACGATAAGAATAGTATTAACGTAATAGACTCTGACGTACAGGTTATACACTTTCGACCTGTATCTTTTATTCCTCACGATCCCGAAGTTTGGTTTGCTGCTATAGAGTCTCAATTTGAGACCCGTCATATTACAAGCCAACGGCAGAAGTACGCCTACGCTCTCGAATGTTTACCGGGAGACCATTTGGTAGCTGTCTGTGAGGTTGTCCTCAATTTCAATGTGCCCAATTTTTACGATCGTCTCAAGGAGGCGATCCTCAAACATTTCCTCCCATCGAGGGAGGAACGATTGAGGACGTAATTAGCACGTCACCCCCTGGGTGATGCTAAACCGAGCCACCACCTCACGCGCCTGCAATCTCTTGCAGGACCCACGGCAGCCGATTCTGAAATTGTTAAAGAACTGTGGCTCGAATCTCTACCAGCATTTATCCAACCTACAGTTACGGCCCTGCTCGAGGACGCACCACTGAAACAGGTAGCCCTCACAGCAGACAAAATTCTAGCTAGGACTGGCAACCGAGACAACTACGTAGTTGCCTCAACGTCGCGTCCGAAAGTCGATATCGACGGCAGCCACTCCTCGGCTCAAGGTGACAGGGAAGGGTGTATTCACACACGTCTTAGTTTTCGAGACCGTTGTAACGTACCCCAACCCTACGTCCCTCGAGTCCGCTCACGCTCTCGAAAAGCCGTCAACACTCGCCCAACGAGGGCATCTTCCAAGCCACGCCAAAAGGCGGCTTCGGAAGCGAGTGAAGGTTGGTGCTGGTTTCATCGATCCTTCGGATCTGGTGCCCGCCGTTGTCGAGCCCCGTACTCATACAAGGCGGGAAACTCCAAAGCCGGCGAGTAAAAGCGGCCATACTCGCCGGCCCTGCCCCCCAGGTTGGCCGTTTATTTTACGTGCACGATTATCGCACAAACGCTAGGAACCTAGTGGATACAGGTGCCCAAGTTTCTGTCGTACCACGAGGTAGCATTAAGTCACAAGCTACAATGCTTCAACTACGCGCTGCAAACGGCTCAGCCATTCCTACCTACGGTACACGACAACTCGCGGTCAACCTGGGCAACCGACGACGGTATCTGTGGACGTTCATCATTGCTGATGTTCCCACAGCCATACTGGGTATTGATTTCCTACAGCACTATGAATTGCTAGTCGATTCACGTAGGCTGCAGTTAATCGATACTTCGTCGAACAGTAAATTCTTGGGCTTTAAAGCTCACACAAACGCGTACCGAATCCTCGGCACTTTTTATTCGCGTGACGATAAATTCCACGCCTTATTCGAGAAATTCCCCAGAATAACTAAACCACTCGAGGAGATTTCATCGGTGACCAATCGTGTGGTGCACCACATAGTTATCCGCGGACCACCAGTCACGGCAAGACCACGCCGACTGGCACCGGACAAATTAGCTTTCGCTAAACGTGAGTTTGACAATTTACTATCTGCTGGTATTATTCGTCCTTCTCACAGTCCTTGGGCCTCTCCTTTACACATGGTGCGCAAAAAGGATGGGGTTAGTTGGA